GTTAAATGAGTTTGAAATCTGATTGAATTATATTATATTATTAAATTATATTATTAAATATGGAATATATGAAGAGTCTGGGGTGGTCTGTCACTGGAATATTCAAAGGCAAGAAAAAGGTGAGAGAACAAGTGGTGAATTTTATTAATATTGTGATTTTTTTTTTAAATTGTTTTCTTTGGCAAAGTAAGAAACTATTTTACGCAGAAAATTAATGTCATCTAAAGTGTAACTCTGCTAAACTTGGAAAGTAGATTAATTTATTATACTGTGAAACAGGGATTTTTAGTTCCACTTTAAATGCTAATGTCAACCTGTTGGGTAAGAACCAAATCCACTTCAATTTAGGCTGAAACAATTTATTTTAGCCTTTATTATATATGTTTTCAGACAATGCTACTATCACCTATGAATTACATAAACATTCAAAAAAAGATAAGGCAAGAAAAGGAAACACTCAAGTTATCTTTCTTGGGGACAGGGTCTCTGCTATGCTTGGCTATTTTTCCTCTGTATCTTCTCCACTATTATGTCAATCATCTATTTTTCTAGTCCTCTGTTCTGTAACTTTGCACAGACTCAGTATAGCAAGCTACCTCATCTGTGTCTTTATCCGTATATATTCCACTCTAACCCCCTAATTAAAAGATTTTCCTGCATAAAACACAATAACCCAAATTAATAATTTTTTTGTTTATTCTGCTAAAGCTTACTTATATCTGTGTAGTTCCCAATGCATCTATTCCTTGCTGTCACACTCACTGGCTCCATGCAGTTGTACTTACATTACAGCAATTTTTATTCTTTTTACACATCTGTTTTTGTGGTCTTGAGTTTTTACTTGTTAGCTGGTTGAATGGACGGGTGGGGGATGAGGGATTGTACCTGAGTTACTGAAAGCTAACAGCTCTCTTCTCTACCCTGCTATCTGCTTGGTCAAGAACTTTATATATAAGACACACAAACCAGTTTTCTGATTTACAGACTGTTTCAGCAAAATCTGATGATCTAAAGCAGCAGAAATACATACAAAAAGCAAAAATTCCTTCCTATTTTCTTATAGTATTATATATAATAATTTCTCTAACATTACTTAGTACATATTTGACTAACACAATTCATTACACAGTTCTCCAACAAAGCTTACCTATGTATGTGCTTGCTAATGGTGGCTCCATAATTTACAGTAGAACTTCAGAGTTACGAACACCAGAGTTACAAACTGATCAGTCAACCATACAAATCTCATTTGGAACTGGAAGAACACAATTAGGCAGCAGCAGAGACACCCCCTTCTCCTCCCTCCCCGTCCCCGTCCCCCCCGCAAAAGGCAAATACAGTACTAAACTGTGTTAAACTACTAAGAAATAAAGCAAAAGCAGCATTTTTTCTTCTGCATAGTTCCTCACTTCAATAAAGCATAAATTAAAATGAAATATATCTCCACATATGCCAGTAGCATTTTTCACATCCTTTTAAAATTATATTCAAGTAAATTGTTCATCTTCTGCTTTAAAAGCATCCAACCATGAAGATGATTTAAATCTTATCAGCAGTTCACTTTTTTATTACCTTTAAAAATAGTTACTTGTCTTAAAGAAAAGATTTCAGAAAATAAAAATGTGTTCTGTGGAGAGAAAAACAGTTATTCTGCTAGGACAGCTTTCTGGTAAATTGGTTGTAAGTCTCCCTAACATGCTGTGAATACAATGAAACTGTAAGAGGCAAAGGAGCGACGGTAGTATTGTGTTCTGAGAAAATGTATAGTAGTGTGCTTTGGACAACTTTCAGACTTTTATCAGCAGATTGTTTTCACAATAGAAATTACACTGGGAATTTATTAAATGGGGTTTCAGTGTACTCTA